CTGTATTCTGAAGATATTAAGTGTAAAATTTCATAAAATTCCATAAGTAAATGTGAAGTTTTAAACCACACACTGTTCTGAGCGGTACAATGAAATCTCAAGCATTTGGCTCTATCCTACCTGAGCAGTAAGCCATCCACATGTCCTTTGTGTCCGTGTTGTATGCTACTTGTCACTAGAGTCATCTTAGTTATCAAATCGGCTGTCACAGTATGCCTTGTCTGCATTCAGGTAACTCTTATTTTACTTAAGCTGACCTCACAGGGCAAGGAAGTGCTTTCTTCATAGTTAAAGATAAATGCCATGGTCTACATGCGGTGGTCAGAGGACAACTTTTTGGAGTCAGTTCTCTTTTTCCACTTCTGTGTGCTTCCCCCCCCACCCCCACCCCCTTGAGCCAATCCTGGTTCGTTGGAGAAATTTACCTTTTCTTTTTTTTTTTTTGTAGATAATTAAAAAAGCAAGGATAATGCCATCACTTTTTAAAGAGGTAGCTATTATAGATACTAGGGCACTTCTGTCAGAATGAAGGCTAAATGAATCCTCAAGGGGCAGAGCAAAAGGAACAAATCCAAGACACTTTCTCCTTCAGCTGCGGTGTGTGATAGTCTTAGTACCTATGTGTATGCTGTATTTAATGGGAGAAAAACGATGAAAATAAATACAGAAAATTCCTAAATGGTTTTACATGCTTATTCACACACCTTAGTTTATTTTGTGTTTCTGAAACAAAACCCCTGAGGTTGTGTCTTTATGAAGGAAGGTTTGTGCTAAGCTTGGAGTTCTGGAGGCTCAGGATCGTGGAGGTGGTAGGGACCTCTGGCAGCTGACATCACAGTGACAGCCAGTGTTTGGGATTAAGATTGAGGGGAGGTGCAAGGCCTGCGTCTAAAAGCCCTCCTTTTTCCGAGTTTGATAGATTTTTATTTTATGTGTGTTTGCCTGTGTTTATGGCTGTGCACTACATGCGGGCAGTGCCTGTAGGGGCCAGAAGAAGGCACTGGATTCCTCGGAACGGGAATTATGGACTGTTGTTAGCTGCCATGTGGGTGCTACAAACCAAGCCCTGGTCCCCTTGCAAGAGCAGCTGGTGCTCTTAACCATTGAGCCAGGTCTCCAGCTCCCTCGTAACCACTCATCCAGGAACAAATCCAGTCCCAAGAGGTAGCACCGACCGACAGTGGTGGCGCCACAGCCTAGTGACCTAGCAGTAGACTCTATCTCTTGAAGTTCCACCAACTCACCCTGTCACACTAGGAACCAATATCTAGCATGTGAACCTGGAAGGGACAAACCAAACAACTAGTATTTTGGCTAAGGAAGAGATGAACTTTGAATTTGACCCGAGCTGAATCACTGTTAGTGATGGGCCAACAGGGGATGAGGCAGTAGAGCCTGGCAATGAGATAAATGGAAAAGATCTGCCGGCCAGAAAGACCAGGCATTGTAAGATGCCACAGAATACCCAGGCAATTCATGTGGGACAATTAAAGGGCATCTGGCTCCTGGCTTCTCAGAGCATGGTCCAGGGACCTGAGAGTTTATTAGTTTTCTCTCTGGCATCAGGGGACATTGCACAGCGGCCTTCCAGGACCAGCTGCTGTTGACTGATGTCTGGTTGCTGGACCTGCTACATTTTTGTGTCTTCTCCTTTCAGGGTCAGTTCTTGGGGTTGCTATAACAAAGTTCCACACACTTAAAACAACAGCAGCGTACTCGCCACAGTTCTATCATGAGTCAAAACTCAAGGTGTTGGCAGGGCATGCTTCCTCCGGAGGCTCTGGGAGAGGCTCTGTCCTTGTTATTTCCATAGATATTCTCTGGTGTGGAGAAGACTCCTCCGGTCTCTGTTGCTGCCTTCATGTGACTGTCTTCTCTCTATGTCTGTGTCCATAGTTCTTTCTTAGTGAGTGTCTTTGTCTTCAGTTCCTTCTTAGAATGACCTCTGGTCATTGAGACTCTGGTTAGGGAATTTTCACCAGCAGATAAATATAATGTAGCTTTTGATGTTTTAATGTGCTTTATTTAATATGTGTCAGTGATTAATACTGAATTTACACAGAGCGAGGTGGCGCACGCCTTTAATCCTGGCACCCAGGAGGCAGAGGCATGCAGATCTCTGTGAGTTTGAGGCCAGTGTGGTCTACATATCAAGTTCCAGGACAACTGGGACTACATAGAAAGACGCTGTCTCAAAAATAAACAACAACAACAAAATGAACTCACAGCCAAGCGTGTATAACACTGATATGACTCATTCCTGAATTTCTGAGTAAGCTTGTCTGATTACATTTATTTTCCCCATAAGGCATAACATGGTCGTGTGTGTGTGTGTGTGTGTGTGTGTGTGTGTGTGAGAGAGAGAGAGAGAGAGAGAGAGAGAGAGAGAGAGAGAGAGAGAGAGAGAGAGAATGTGCATGGGTACACTTCTAAACACAGCACAGTACTTTAGCTCATTTTAAATGACAAGATAATCAACACAAAGCTCAGAGATACTAAAAGTGTCATACTGTGGAAAGGCCTCCGGCTTGCGGTAGGAGAGGCACAGTAAGAATGTGGACAAAGCAAGAATGTTGCTTTGTTTGATCCCAGTGGCTGCATTCACATGAGGCATCTTGCATTTTCCCCTTTGGCACAACTCTGCAATGACCAGGCAAACACTGTAAGGATGTGTTTTGTAGTTTTCAGTAAGATAATTCCCATGTACAGAACTTGGAATGATGTGCATCAGCCATACAAATAGGTTACTTATGAATAAAAATGGAAGGAAACATACTGTGACGATTTTGCACTGGAAGCGCGACTACTTAGGGGTGCCTCTCGTACTGACCTGTCACGGAGTCAGGCATGCCAGCAGCAATTCTCTTATAGTGTCACCTCAGCTAATAGCTCCTGTAACTCTTCCTAGTTTTGCTATTCTGTTCCCAGTCTATGTCTTGAGGGAAGATTTGAGTAGGTGGTGGTCACCACTCTGCAGGGCAGAGCCTCTACAGTGGCAGCAGTGAATGTGACTTTTTCCATGTTTCCAGAATTCCTTGCTAACTCCATACACCTGTACACAGTGCTCCTCACGTTTCTCGTTCCTTTCTTTACCGAGTCCTGTAGAAATCGAGATGTCAGGGAGTGTTTGATCATATCCAACTCCCAGACTCTCATTTTCAATCCAAGATCTTTGAATGGATGGATGATGAATGAGCCAATGAGTGAATGAAGGCATGAATGGGGCAATTTGAGATTCATGAAAAGCAGCTGTGTTGGTGACTGCTCATCATCATCTCATGTCCTTTTGTAGTGTCTCTAAGGTTCCCATTACTGTCTCAAAGAATGCCACCGGGAGCCTGCAGATGTTGCCCAAGGCCCCTGTTCCATAGCAGCTTTGCCTGGCTTGCTTAGAACTTTCCTGGCTCTTCTGTTGAACGCTTAGCATGTAAAGCCAAGGCAGAACTTGGCTTTACAGGATTATTCATTTTTCTCGAAGGAGTGAAGTTCATCCTCTCAAAGAGCTCCCAATTTGCATGGGAAGCGAGGCTGTGCACAGCTGAAAAGTTTATAGGCATAACAAGAGATGAAATGAAAGCCAAGACTAAAACAGCTGCCCTGAGGCAATGTCTGCTTCCCAAATCATCAGAGGAAGATCTGTGAGGAGTGTAGGTGTTGGAGGAGGCAGGGTTGCTTCTGGCTGGAGCGATCCCGAATGACTATTCAGGAGAAGTGTAGAGCGTAGGTCTTGGAAGACAGATAAAGATTGACAAGGCCAAGGGGGAATGGAGGGCTTGGTGGGCTTGAGCTTTGGGAGGGGTATAGAGAAAAGGCGGGTGGCTCCCATGGACAAAGGTGAGGCCCTTGCTGATTCACACAATGGTTCTTGTTCTCTTGACATTGGCTGGAGCCAGAACATAGGAGAGAGCTTGGCAAGATAGAGGAGAGAATAATGAGGCACAAATCATGACCCACATTCACCTGAATAGACTCTTCAGCTAATTTTGGAGAAAAAGAGTTAAAGAAATGAGAGAGCTCCAGGTTGGAGGGAGGACTGTAATGTCACATTGCCCTCCAAGTCTTGGAGAGTGGAAGCCTGAGTCATTGTCATCTTTGATTTCAAGTGTCGGCTGAATGTAAATTGCAGACATAAGCATCATGAAGGTGCAGGGGGGAAAACTGGAAGCCACTTTATTAGTGATTCCACCGTAGCTGTGTTTGGGTGGGGAAAGGCAAGACTATCATAGAAGGAGTCTGGTAGGAGTGGAGAGCGGCATTGCGTGGGCTGGTGGGGGAGAGTTATTCCAACTGCGCAAGTGACTTTCAACGGGAAAGTGAGCTTAGGGTAAAGGCGTGCAGCTGAGTCAGAGCAGGGAGGCTGGTGCTGAAGAAAGATGCTGGATGGAGTGACTGAGAGATGGCACTAGGGCCTGAGGACAGGGAAAGGGGATGGCGAGTTCTGAATGTAAAGTAAGTCAGAAGGAATGGCTTGTTCGTAACAAACCTTTAGTGAAACAAAATCAATCAGTGCTCTAGAGCCAGTGTTGAGAGTTCAAATTATTTATGCACCCCAGATCCTCCAAGGAATGTATTGCTTACTGTAGTTGGCTTCAGAACTGTTTGCCTGGCACTTGTTGGCATTTGGAAAGTAAAATATTGGTCCTTGAATGTCTGATATGATGATGGTTTATGCTGTAGGCTTAGCTTGGAGAGGTTAGGGGTGGGTAAAGTATGACTCAAGGCAAAGTCACTATGAGGCATCTGGGCCTCCAGTTATTTGAGTGTGTGGCATACCATGTCCATAAAAACTTTCATGAGCTGAGAGTCAGCAGAGAGACAGTCAGGCCTGGTCCATTTTGCTACCCATTGAGAGAGCAGGATGGGTGAAAGAGCGGGCCGCAGGAGAGCTGAATACAGCCACCTCCTCCCTAAGAAGGGGAGCCTAGGGCGTCGGACGTTGTGGTGCAGATAAGAGAGTCAGTCGCAGAAATAACCAATACTATGCTTCTCTTCTGCCACAGGGCACCATGCCGGTGGAAAGAATGCGAATGCGCCCGTGGCTGGAGGAACAGATAAATTCAAACACGATACCAGGGCTAAAGTGGCTGAACAAGGTAGGTATGGTGTGTGTGTGTGTGTGTGTGTGTGTGTGTGTGTGTGTGTGAGTGAGTGTGTGTGAGTGAGTGTATGTGAGTATGTGCAATGTGGAGGACAGAGAGGGAGGGAAGGGAAGGGGAAGGAAAGGAAGGGGGAGAGAAGGGGGTTTTCCTGTTGAAAGTAGTCCCATTGGACCACCAAATGAAGTTGTGTTCAGAATCTTATGTTCATTCATACAGGAAACACCCAGCTAACAATGACAACGAAACATGAATTTTTCATGTCATAAAGGTTTTGGTCACATTTCTGAAATAAAGTGGAGTACAGAGAAAGGGCGAATTTAGGTGACAAGGAATGATGGGATCCGGGTAATGGACACGCGAGTCTGAAGGAGGATATAACACTAATTGCATTTTTAGTTTTAACTGTCATTGGTTTATCTTTTTTTTTGTGGTGGACAAGTACACAAAAATACAGTGGAAGTGTAAAATTCAAAGTGGAGTCCCACAGCCTCAGCATGGCTGCTCCTACTGTTCAGGAGTCACTGAGATGTGTAGACTTTGGGTCTGCCTTATCTCCTACATGATGCTTTTCTCTTGGAAGTTCTTTATGGTAAAGTTTTCATCATTTTTAAGATTTTTTGCCATCTTCTCAGACTGTCACCTCAGCCTGAGTACCAGTTGTAGCCTTTGGTTTTCAATGACGCTGTGAAGCTCCTCTATGGTTTCTCCACTTCCTTCACTGTTCCATCCCTTCCTCAGATCCCGTCTTTCTGCTCCAACTGCTCTAGCACTAAAGGGCACAGGGGCTCCAAGGTGGTGTTTGTTTTTGTCTGAGTGGAGGATCTTAACCTTTAAAAACTTCTTTATTCGGGAACTTTTGTGTTTTTTTTCTCTTAAAAAAAAAGTACTGTTGTGCTGGGTGTGGCGTTGCTTACCTTTAATTCCAGAACTTGGGAGATAGAGGCAAGTAGGTGAGGATCTCTGTGAGTCTGAAGCTAGTTTGGTTGACAGAGTGAGTTCTAGGCCAGCTTGGATACACAGCAAGACCCAGTCTTGGAAAACAAACACAAAGGTACTGTCTTATATGGAAACCCTGTTTGTATGACCACTTATGCTAAAAAAGTAGTTGGTAATTGTTCACACACACACACACACACACACACACACACTTTGTTAACCACAACACTCTCAATTTAACTGATCCTAAGAGAGCTAATGTGGGCAATTTTGTTTTTAATCTAAAAATGCACACCTACAGTCTAGAGCAGTGGTTCTAAGCCTTCCTAATGCTGCGACTCTTTAATACAGTTCCTCATATTGTGGTGACCCCCAAATCATAAAAATTATTTTCATTGCTGCTTTATAACTAAAAATTTTCCTCTGTTTTGAATCATAATATAAATATCTGATATTCAGGATATCTGAGGTGTGACTCCTGTGAAAGGGTCATTCATCCCCAAGAGGGTCATGAACCCATGGGGATCACGTTCCCGCAGGTTGAGAAACACTGGTTCTGAGCAACAGCTAAGTAGGATAGTTATGCCTTCTCTAAGGAGGCCTAAAGGAGGATTCTTTTCCTCCTTCCACCAAGAATTCTGAGCAAATGTCCTTTCTTCTTTTTCACTCTCCCCCCTTCATCTCTTAATAATAAAGACACAATGAATAATTTAATGGGTCAAGCTTTATTTTCACACCAGGTGTAAGAGCTTAAAGCCAGTGAGAGATTGTGGCTTGCTTTTAATGAGTGAAAAAGATATTGTGGAGAAATAAAAAAACCCTCAAAATTTCTGGTTTCATTTTATCTTTTCAGATCTCTCTCAAATCTTATTCTTTCTCTTACCCATTTATTTTGAATTCAATATGAGTGTAACTGAATGCCTGTTTGAGTCTTTAATGTGAAATAATGTGAACCACAGAGAAAACAGAAATAAATAAAGCACATACTTACTTCACACGTTCTGTCATGTACTGGAACGTTTTGTGGCAAGCAATGTGTTTTTTTTTCCAGGCTTGCAATATCTATAGTTAGTTGTGGTTTAGGTATATAATCGGTCTCTTCTAAATATACGAACAAGAACTCAGGTCACCCTTGATTGCTCAGTGAGCAGCAGTACAAGTATGGGTAAGAGGAGAGAAGGTGGTATTTCAGCAACAGTATGGGGAGATGCAGGGTAACAAATAATAGTAATGGCAGCTGACATTTGCTAAGTATTTCATGCTACTTCCTCTTCTAAGCAAATCATTACATTCAACAACTTACTCTGGGAAAAGACTGTTATTTTTTATTTTATTTTTTGTTATGTTTCAGACCAGGAAACTGAGAGAGGTAAGGGAGACTTGTTTGGACTCATGGTCTGAGATTGAAGTATGTGTTTTGCAATTTTCAAGAAAAGCAAGTGATCTATTTCTGCTATTTCTTTTTCTACCACCTGAGTTTTCTGTTCTCACTTTTGTTTGTCCTGAACTACATCTGTATGTGGAGAGCACAGGGTGTCATTGTACCTATTGTGTCAACAGGGCACTGGCAATCTGTAGTTAGGTGTCCTCTGCGGGAGGTTGACCAGTAGTCTCTACCTCCAAAACCACATCTCAACCTCTAGAAATTGGGAGTGTGACTTTATTTGGAAAAGCGTTTTCAGGTGCAGTTAAGGACTTCAAGATGAGAACATCTGGATTGTCTGCCTGGGCTGCCCCAATTTCAAAAGCAGGTGCCTTTAAAAAGAGACGGAAGAACACACACACACACACACACACACACACACACACACATACACACACACACACAGAGCTTTGTGAAAACAGAGGGGGTGCAATGAAATCATGGCTAAGGGACTTCTGGATCTATCAGAAGCTGCAAGAGGGAGGAAAGACTCTTCTAGAAGTTTTGGAAAAGATGAAGGCCTGCCAACACCTTGATTTTGGATTTCTGACTTTCAGAACTGTGATATAATGCATTCTATTGTAAACCACCCAGGGTGTTGTCATTATTTTTGTAACAACCATAGAAAACAAGTGTACCCTCTAAGTACTTCCTCCTCTGTGGAAACACCTTTTCCACTGCCCACTACCTCCCGTGCTGGGTATTAAAAAAAAGTCTTGTGCTACTGGGCAAGTACTCTGCCAGTGAGATGCATCTCCAGCCTTGTCCATATTTTTCTGCTCTAGAGCTGGAGACAATAATTTCTCATTCTGTAACCAAACCCTTAGCATGCTCAGGAGCCCCTTCTCTGCTAGACGCCTTTTCTCTGTCTCTTTGCACCACAATTCTCTTCTCCAAAGAAGAGTAAGGATGGGGACCTCCTTGGCATCTTATGGACACTTTTGCTAGAACTGGACCCAAGGACGTCTGATTGAAAGGAGCATGTCACTGGCTCTAGTTGCCTCGGCTTCTCAGGACAACATTGATACAAGAATATCTTGGCTTCTCTGTGTCTGAGGGTCCCAGTTAGGCAGGAGACCTGTGAGGGCTAAGCTACAGCAAGTGTCTGCCTGTGCACATGGACAGTGCATGCCTGAGATGGGTTAGGATATTTTCTATTCATACCTAAACTCACACAGGCGTCTTTTTTATAGGTGTTCTCTAATTCAGGCTTGTTGCATTCATCTGTCACCAGGAGCCCACTGTTTTTCACTCACAAGCACTCCTAGAACCTTGTTAGTATTTTGAGTGGTTTGAGGTCTTTCTAAAACCTTGTCTCCTGTTGAAGACTGTTGGGATTCTAGGAAAAGAGATGCAGCGTCCCTAAGACTTTGTGATTTTATTATATCACAGATGGTGTCTTGGTGCACTTTGTGTTGCTGTAACAGAATGCATTAAATCACATGCCAACGAATTTATATGACTCATAGTACAGGTAGCTGGAAGAGTACAGGTCCTGGTGAGGGCTGCTTTACAACATGACTGACAACAGAAGAGGCAAATCTGTAAGCTAGGAGAAAAGACCTGGGCAGGGCCCAGCTTGCTGTTAAAAATATACAAACAAACAAACAAACAATGAATGGAAACCTAGCAGATTCTTTAAGGAGCTAGGATACTCCTAGCAGACCTGACCCACTTCCCAAAACAGCACTAAGCCATTTGTGAGCACAGAGCCTATGTATGATCTAATTATTCTCCACTAGACCCCCATCACTTAAAGGTTCCATCATCTCAACCAATCCTTGCTGCAGTCCAAGAAAGCCTTGCAAGAAACACTCAAATCACACCCAAACCATATCATTTGATACTCAGAATGCATTTTTACCTATGCCTGGAAGCCTTTGGTGCAGGGCATGGCTGTCCTGATGGTTACTCTGTGAACAGTGCTAGATCAAATGCTGAACAGTATGAGGCTGTCTATATTGAGGGGCTTGTGAACCTATGAATGAAGGTAATAGGTCCAAATTCACAGCTTTTAAAAAAATACTAAGATTAATTAGCTTGGTGATGTATATCTGCAGCCTTCATATTCAGCATTGTTGAGCATTTGAGTCTAAACTGACTACCTATGGAGACCCTGCCTCAAAACAAAACAAAACAAGCAAACAAATAAGAAAACAACAACAATAAGCCAACAAAAAGAAAAAAAGAAAGAAAAAGAGATATCAAAGTTAGCATTGGGGGTTTGGTTACTATCGTGTCTATCTCTAAAGAAAAGTCCAGCCAGTGTATGTAGGACATTCTTAGAAAGACACAAGTAGGTGATTAATTATGCTTTAATTTGTTTCCATTTCTCACTTCTAATAAAACTTAAGGAGACCCTATCATGTAGCAGGGTTCAGCCACTATGGAAGATTTCAAATGGACATCTAGGATGTTGCTGGCGGGGGATCTGTATCACTTCAGAATTCGGCCTTGGAAGAACCATGTACTTTTTATGATAGTATTTGCATATGATATAGTATAGCCTAGTCATATATCTAGAATGAATAGGATGCCAAATTCTCATAGGCCCACATCTAGATTTCTTGCTATTTGCTTCATCTTTTCTGTGTAGGTAGGAAGGGGTGGTATCTTAAGGCCATTGGATGATGGT